TGCTCAGGGGCCCAACGGAGTAGGATTCCTCTGCCGGCCGCGGGATTTGAACCGGCAACCTTCCAGTCACAGGCGCAGATCCTGAGCCACAGGGTTCCAAGATCAGGACCCTGACTGCCACTCTACACAGACACCTGTTTAAGTGTCATTCCAGCAGCCATATCACTCTTCTGCTCACAGCTGGCAGCCCCCTGGAGCTCCGCAGGTGTGAGCCTGGTCATTACCTGGTTGGGAGACCTCCTGGGAAAAACTAAGGTTGCTGCTGGAACAGGTGTTAGTGGGGCCGGTAGGGGGCACTCACCCTGCAGTCTGTGCTGGTCCTAATACCCTAAGTGTAGTGACAGGGGCAATATACTGTGAAAAGGCACGGTCCTTTGGAGGAGACATAAAACTGAGGTTCTGAAAAACTCCCAGAGAGTTTCTTGAAAAGAGTAGGGGTGTTACCCTGGTGTCCTGGCCAAAGTTACCATTGGTCTTGATTTACCCATCATGGCCTCCTAATAATCCCCATCTCTCTGAACTGGCTTCATCACTCTGCTCTCCTCCCCACTGAGAGCTGGTGTGTGGGGAGCGTTCTGGTGCACTCTGGCTGCTGTCGCATCATCCAGGTGGGGCTGCACACCAGTGGTGGAGGAGGGGATCCCCATTACCTTTGAGTAAAGGTAAAGCGCTTTGAGTCGTGTGTCCAGAAAAGTGCTATATGAGTGTAATAAATAATAATAATTAAATAAAGTGCTCAGACAGTGGTTGTACAGCCCCATGCTGGAGATGCGGCTGTGTGATCAGGCCAGAGCAGTTTCATTTTCCTGCACTGGCCACTCCTGTGTGGATGTGTTGAGGCTGCAGACAGTCTTCCTCAAAGTCCGACAAGGAGGAAGCAATGACAGGGAAATCAACACAGGTCATGGACAAACTGCCTAACAAACAGTCAAATCAATTGCTCCTGACTTCATGGTGATCCTGCAATCATGTAGTAGGAGTCGTAGGAGAACAGCAATTCTCCCTCACTATCTTGAGTGGTTCATTTTTAGGGGTAACTCCCTTTGAAACTCCATTTTCTGTAAAAAGAAAAGCTATTGTTTTTTTCTTTCACAGAGTACAATGCACTTCAATAATTTGACTTTACTTAAGGCTCTCTGTGCTTAACTTCACTCCTCGTGGTTATTTTTCCCTCATATGCATTAGTCAAAATATTCAGCACTGAAAATGTTTAAAATGGCATATTTCATTTTCTGCTGGCAATCAAATCACTGTTTCTCCACGGGAGAAGTGTAAAACTACAACATGAGGGGCCTGATGTGCTACACAGAGCTGCACAGATGTTTTCTACAAAACATGAAGAGCAGTTCACATAGCACTTCAAAAATGAAGAAAAAAATAAACGTCACATTTTATGGAAAAACATGTTTCTCCCATGAATTGTAATCTGTCTTCTATGTGCCATCACAAAAATAAATTTACAAGCACATCCAGATCTTAAATATGTGTAGAGAACATGCTGAAATAAAGCAGGGATATACTATACTGTCTCTTTCCTTTTTGCATTTCAAAGCTGCTTTGTGCCGTAGTATGCCTGACTGAACTCTAGATTACATTTCTGGAGAACCTTCGAATCCAGCAGTCTTAACATTTAAATGTATACATATTTATCATTAATTTAAAATGAAAATGACTTGCTTTCTGATTTCTAGCATTTTATTTTAATGATAAATTTATCTTACAATGCATGCATAAACAGATGCCACACTAAGGCAAAATCAAAAGAAGTGTTAAAATTAATGAGAAATGCAGAAAATATTAAATTAACTTTAAAAATGCATGTGCAGGGTTTTATTTAAAACATTTTTAGATGCATTTTGTTCTGTTTGGCTGTGAGCTATTAGATACAAATTGGTACTTTTTATACAATTAGCTGAATTGTTTTCTGCTAAGAATTCAGCACTTTGTTTTCTTGTTGTCTTGTTTCTGCTGGTAATATGCCAATCAATCAAGGGTTTTACATTATTGTTGAGCCCAGTGCACATCAATCAATGTCACTTTGCACTTTGGAGGGACTGGAGGGCCATAGAGAATCCTGTCAAGCAACAGTTAATCACGCTGATAAAATGCCGTACTGCCAAACTTCGGCTTTTGTTCTCACATCCACTGGAAATTAAATGTGTGGTGTTACACACGCTACAGTGTGTTAAAGAGAGACAATTTTAAAAGACATGCTGAGAGATTTTGTTCTCTGCTGTGTTGGTGCAGAAGGCACCTATACATGTAAATACAGAGAAGTTGAGACATCAAAAGGACAGTGGAGAAGAGATCCCTTCTTTTGGAGATATGCAGAGGTTATTTTCTTAGGCCTTCTTCTGCCTTTTCAGCATAATTATTACTAACTGCAATTTTTGTATTTTAAGATCAGCAATCAACAATGTACTTTTGGAACATTTTGAGTCTCTGAACCTTCAACCATGAAAAAGAAAAGATAGAAAACACATTGTCACAAGCAGGCATCTCATTTCCTACTGCTCCTCCCTAATCCTCTTCTTCTCCTTCTTGTTTTTCCTGCAGGAACTAAAAAGGCCCCCAACAACAGTGGGCACTTTCTAAGATGTCCACTTGCTTTACAGCACTGCAGTCAAACAATTTTGCTCCAGACTGTTTTTTTCGGTCCTGATGTCTGAATGCGTTACGTCTCGTAAGCTACCCTTTGCCTTTTCCCGAGTTGTGATAAAATAGATAAATAAATAAAAGTGTTGAAAAAGATTCTATGAATTATTTACTGAAACTATACACTTGTGGTGCATGAATAATTCCCCTTGTATAATCAGGGCCTGTCTCTCCAGGCTGCCCTGGAGAGCACATTCACACTCGCCAACCCATCTCGACACATTTGCTGTGGGGTCAAAGGTGAAGCCAGCTGTCCACCTCCCCTCCTTGGCTTCAGTAATCACCTTGTGGAGGATTCTGGGAATACTCACATTCCACCTGGTACAGATCAAAACTCCCCCTTTTTTTCTTTCTCTGACTATTATGCCGAAAAAAAGTGTCTGTTTCCATAATGGGATATTATTAAAATAAATTGAAATGAATCTGTTCTAAGCAGATAGCAGATAGCCAGTGTCTTGTAAGCACAGGGTATGAGAAATAACTCCACCCTGGATGGGACACCAGTCTCACATGACCAGAGAGACCATGCACACTCCACACAGAAGGTCCCCCAGTCCAGAGTCAAAATTGGGACCCAAAAGCTGTGAGGCAACATTAATAACTACCACAACACTGTGCCAGCCAGTTTTAAAGATAATCCAGTCAATTCCTGGGTGACTCATTGCCCTCCGAAAGAATACCCCAAATCTGTCCTTGCTCCTGTAAGGCAGTCAGAGATCTCAGAAAGCTGCTTTGTGAAACAGCCCTTACGAAAGCAGGTTTTGCTTTCTCATCAGTGTCCACCACGAGAGAGCTGTGCACTAATTGGTAACACAGAGGGCCCACAAAGAGGGAGATGGAAGAACAGTCCGGATCTAAACTCCTGGGATTGCGCCATCTGGACTTTATCAGAGGATATACGGAGAAACTAAGTCCCCAAGCAGTTTGATGAGGCAGTCATGAAATAAAACTGCAACAGAACTAAAATAACTACAGGATTAATTTGGGATTTTTTGCCTTGATTTTGCAAACAGAAACAATTCGCAGATGCTGCCTGTGATGATTCCATCCTCTCAATGGTTGTCAGGCTCTTATTTTTAAACCTAAATAGATCTTCAGCTCATCAATAATTCAAGCTCTGGTAGGCCAGTCCCAATCCCCTTGATTTGTAGGTGGATCTTGGACAGGGAGTAACCTTCTGGCATAGCTGGCACTGGTGCAAAACTGGAATCCCCATCTGGGTGGAAAGTTAACTGTTACCAAATCTCATCCACCCTTCCACCCCTCAAAATCCCCATGCTTATATCGGTAATATACTGCATCTATTCCTTCTTCAGACACTTGTACTTCTGCTGTTCAAATCTCCTCTGCTCTAAAAAAAACACATTTATGATGTTTTCTTCTGTTCATTATTTCTTCACCTACAGTGGCTGTGATGTGAAAGAATAACTGCTGTCCAGTGTTTAATAAACTCAGCCAGTGGTAGAAAATCAGGAGGAGGCACACTGGAGAGATGCTGGCTTCATGGCTCAGACTTACTTATCTTTCAGACTTCGCCCCCTAGCAACTTTCTCTCAGTCTTTTGGGAACAACCACAAGTAACATGCTGGAATTTTTTCAAAGAAATTAAATTAGATGACAAGCCCCTGTTTTGCAAGACAAGATCTTCTTCCAAAATGGACAACTCATAAGAATGGGGATACAGGTCAGATGAAACACATGGTTTATTTTGCTTTAAAAAAAAGTTCTGACAGTACTTCCCACAGGACACTTCAATGTTAAGAATACTTTGACATCTAAATATGACTCCATTGGTAGATGGCAATACAAAAACCCTGTCTTCAAACTGGTGCAGTAATGGTGCACAAAACCTCCAACTCACAAATCCACATCCACTCCGCCAGAGTGTGGTGTGTCTTCGTGAAAATGTTGTGCAGCCATTATAGCGTAAGAGAGTGCTTAGAGCAAACATGCTCAAAAAAAGGAGTCCTTTTGCACTTGGATTCTCATTAATTTCTAAATTCCCCTTTTGACTGTACTTCAGTTGTGATTGGTGTTTGAGAAGCAGACTTGGCCTTCTGGGGTTTCTGATAAACCCTCTCTAACTATCCCTTTGTCTGTCCAGCGCTGCTGATCCGCTGGACCTTCAGAGTGAGTCCACTAATGTTCACGTTCTGGTTCCAAGCCAGAAGCCCTGGGCTTTGTGCACTTAATGTTTCACTCCTGGGGGGGACATTCTCTCTGAATATACAAATTCACCCTGCCAGAACACCAGACTTTTTGCAGGGCACCTTTATCTTCCATTTATTTCCATTTCGAAAAGAAGCCCCCTTTGGCAGAACTGAGCATCAGCAGAGCATGCAATGACTCTGGAGCTGGACGATGGGCAGTGCTGTTTGAATGGTGGCAGTGACTCTGCTCTGCTTCTCACAGTGTAGAGGCACACTGGAAGATTCCACACATCTCTGGGGACCAGTGGAAATAAGATCATTGGACCATCATAAGTTCTGTTTGCTGTAAATGGAACTGAGAATTTTGAAGAAAGAAATATCTTAAAAGTCTTAAAAGCTTTAATTAAAGTAAGACACTGAGAATTTATAAAGGTAAAGACTATCCTAGCATTTTTTGTACAAGAGAAGGAAAGAAACGTTTCATTAGACATTTAACTTAAACTGGATTGGTCAGAATGTAGTGTTGCCGTATTTTCAGACAGCAGCATTAACACCTTGTCACGTAACCTCGTCAGGTCTCAAGCACTAAGCAAAGATGGGCCTAGTCAGTGCTGGGATGAAAGGAATCTAGGGAAAACTGGCATGCTTCTGCAAGTGGTGGGATAGACCTGTAGGTGGCACTCTTCTCGTACAGAATTTCCAGAACCTAGTAAGGTCACCATGGAAATTGTGATGTAAGGGGTTTATTCATTTAAAGAGTCCGGACAAGTTTGTCATTAAAGATTCAAGGGCACTGTGTGTAAGAGTAGGGGTGACCCTGAAGTCCTCCTGCCAACATTCCAGTCCAGGTTTGAACAATCTTACATCCCTAACATTCCCCTTCAATTCAGCCGGTGAAGTAATTGAAGGGCTTTCAGGAAGGCAAAGAGCTCTGGCAGTTAAAGAGGGTTTTGTAGCAGTACGTGGGTTTTTTCTCCAAGAATTATAATGACTACATTGTGTGTGCAGCTCTAATGCAATTAGTGAAAAAAGGTTTTGTTATGGGATGCAACAGTTGAAATATCAAAACGGTATCTTCCTTTTAAGCTTCAGGACTGCTCAGCTTGTTTAGAATCCTGATTAAACTCTGGGGAGATGGAGATGCATTTCAGAAATGCTTTTTTAATACCTTTGATAAACAGACTCCCAAGTGCCCGCCTTGAGCTAATATTTTAACAGTTATTTTGTTGAAAGCTGTTCAGCATAGACAACATTTTCATAACCTGAATTAATCTTCCTACCTGTTATTGTAATGTCAGGTTTGAAATAGTCCATATTTCCAGAATTTAAAAAGTGAAGGAATTCTGTAATGCTAATACTGCTAAGCATGTCTTTCTAATAGCTCATTGAACAATTTTAATACAGGAGGAAGAGGCACCAGCTCCATCTCCTTTATTTCAAATGCTGCTTAGGGTGGGGGGCTGGTCAATTTTTAGGACAAATTAAACAAATATTAGCAACTTTGATTCATATGTAAATTTAATAGACAATACAGATTCCAGCAATACTGAAATTGAAATACCTGGCATTCTGAAAACTGGCATGGATCAAGTTTTGCATATGCAAAGATCTTTTGTTTCTCACCATTACAATGTTAATGACTCATTTGGACCTGGGAATGAATAAATTGATCAAGACATAATAGGATGATTTTCTTCATGAATGTCACCCAGGGCTGGAAATCGGAAGCTGTAAGGATCCTGACTTGGCCCTTGGCCAAGCACCCTGCTTTGTGGATGAACACAGGTCTCCAATGGTCCAGATCTGATAGCAGGAGAAGTGTTGATGGATTGATTGACAGGTGACTTAACCAGACCACCAGACCACCCTTGCGAGCAAAAAACAATTCCCTGTCTTAGCCTTTTCTATTGTTTTGCTGCCAGCTGCACATTCATTTATCCCATATTAGAGAAAAATCTAATACAATGTGAGAGAAACAGACGAGCACAAAATAGACAGCGGTGTGTGTGTGTGTGTGTGTGTGTGTGTGTGTGTTGGGGGGGGGGAGGCATTGTTGCCACTCATTCCTGGACTCACATGATGCTGGTGTGCCCTCTTTAAGAAATGTGCATGTTTAGAAAAGTTTCTTCTCACCTCCCAAAGGCATGTTAGTAGATGGCACAGAAGACCCCCTGCTTGTGGTAAGATTGATACCACAAATAAACAAGAAGCCCCTCAGACAACACGCTAAACCTGCAAAGGATGACATCAGCCATGTACGTAAGACATGCTGCCCGTGTATGGGCAACTTCAAGTCCCTGTAGTATCAACCTCAGGTTTCCAGCTCCATTTCCACCCCTTATACAAACTGAATATTCTCACATTCCAGACAGTTACACTAAGCCATTATCAGTCTCATTTTCCATCCATTTTCTAACCACTTCTTCCAATTCAGGGCCTGTGGGGACCTGGCGCTTCTCCCAGCAAGCAGCAGGTGCAAGGCAGGATACACCCTGAATGGGACACCAGCCCGCTGCAGGGCAGTCACACAGACACGCACACACTCACCCCAGGGGCAATAAACCCACCCACATGTCTTTAGACTGTGGGAGCACCCAGAGGAAACCCACACAGTAATAATAATTAATAATTCCTCACACTTCTATAGCACTTTTCTGGAGACTGCACTCAAAGCGCTTTATAGGTAATGGGGATGATGGGATGGCAGCCATAGTGTGCCAGTACCTTCTCCACACACCAGCTCTCAGTTGGGAGGAGAGCAGAGTGATGAAGCCAGTTCAGAGATGGGGATTATTAGGAGGCCATGACTGGTAAAGACCAGGGGGAAATTTGGCCAGGACACCAGGGTAACACCCCTACTCTTTTCGGGAAACGTCCTGGGATTTTTAATGCCCA